GGTGAGTGGAGGGGGGGGTAGTTCTTGCAAGGGTACTTGTAATCTTACAAGAGTAAATAAAGAACTGGGACTGGTTGCATAAACTGTTTAAACTAGTCTTAAAAAGTTAGTCATCTAATTTTTTTCTTCAAGACTGGTCATAACTTTTTTAATTCAGTTATGAAAAGGTAGATTGGTCTTATTTGCATTGAAAAAAAGTAAGACTGATTTCTCCTTGGCAATTGCTAGTTGGTCAAACTAGTTCTTAAGACGGTCTTAACATGGTGGCTATGGACTGGCCCCTGGTTGATTCAATAAGCTTTGTATAGTATTTTCTTTACTCTTTACTTCAGAAACTAGGTCTAAAAAGGGTGATATTTTATGTATTTGAGGTCTGAGATGTGGGAACGGTGAAGAGAGAGAGAGAGAGAGAGAGAGAGAGGGCAAACACTTTGCATTGCATTGCGTCTAATCAGCCAATATTGTCTTAAACAGCCTGCATAGCACTTCATCGTTTATAACATGGGATTTTGACCAAATCTATTCAATCTTGATTTTTGTAAAATGTTGCAACAAGATGTAAATTTTTTTTGTGTGTGTGTGTGAAAAATGACAGTTTTAGACATAAGGTAATAAAAAGTATTTTTAAAAATACCTTAAAGTAACCACAAATGTGTCCCTGGAGCACAAAAGCAGTGTTAAGTCGCTGGGGGATATAGACATTTTGCATTTTAGGTCAGCATTGCCGTCTAATCAGCCAATATTGTCTTAAATAGCCTGCATAGCACTTCATCTTTTATAACATGGGATTTCAACCAAATATATTTAATCTTGATTTTTGTAAAATGTTGCATCAAGATGTTTTTTTGTGTGTGTGAAAAATTACAGTTTTGGACATCTAAGGTAATAAAAAAATAAAAATAAAATAAAATAACTTTTATAAAGAAAATCTCTTTGAATTTGAGACTTTAGTCTTTGCAACTTTACTCTTTATGCACCAAGAGCTTGTAACACTCCAAAGAGAAAGGAAAAATTTAAATCGCATCATATGACCCCTTTAATTAATCATGCAGTTGAGATTAACTATATAGTACAGGGGTGGCGAACTCCGGTCCTGGAGAGCCGCAGTCCTGCAGAGCTCAGCTCCAACCCTAATAAAAACTCACCTGCCCGTAGCTTCCTAGTAACCCTTCAGACCTTGATCAGCTTGTTCAGGTGTGTTTGATTAGGGCTGAAGCAAAACTCTCCAGGCCCGACGTTCGCTATCCCTGATATAGTACATGCGTAAAGTTAAACGTATGTATGTGGATAAAGATGGATATTTTATAGTAGTTGTAGAATGGAGTTATTAATTTATGTTATGCTATGATATTGATGACTTTGAAACCTGTACGTTTTTTTTTTCCAATTTATAATAGTGTGGTGCAGTGACAAGCCTATTTACTGTTTGGTTATGTGTATTACTGCCAAGGGTAAATAAATGACAAGAGTTATAATTTCGATCATAAGCAACTGATTGGGTCTGAGTCTTGGGACTATTACTTTACTTTATCCACTTTATAAACATGACCATCTGTCCCCTGCCAGCGGAAAATCACAGTGAATAGCAATAATTAGTCGAGATAAAAGTGCTGCATCGGACTTCGCACCCATTTAGGCCACGTTTGATGAACGGTTTATATCAGTTCCCTTATTGAATCTCTGTAACTTAGATCAATATATTTGAACAGCGATCAAAACAGCTGTGACTATTCTTGGCAAAGTAACGTTACACAAGGCAGCGACATTTCGTATTTATTCGTCTTTAATAAATTTGAACCTATATCCCAAAATTTAAGTTTCATTTCATACTTTTGGTATATAAATTTAAAATGCTGGGAAAATCTACAATTATTCGACGCATCCTTAAGCAAGCCGTTAACAATAAAAGGAAATCGAGAGGATCTGTGTAAATCTTTGTGTAAGTATTTTTGCTAATCAGAAGATAAATAAACATCTAAATGATGTTTAGAAATGTATCTTATTTTTCATAAAGAAATCTTAAAAATCTGAACGAGGATTACACTAAGAGTTCGAACCGTTCGTTGACTGAGCCCATTGTTCAGAGTGAGGTAGCCGTGCTGATAGCCGCCTCAAGCTAACGGCAAATCTGATGAAAACACTAACTCACCCAGAAAATCAGACTGTACGAGAACAGAAACGTCTTCAGACATGTTATCACGGGTTTGGTTTGAAGCCGTGCGGACGGAGGGGACATTTCTGCTTTTGTTTTCCCAGCGGAGCTCGCTGGAGACGGGACTATTCGATGGAGGGTGCTGGAGGAAAAGTTGCGGAGTGAGTGTGAGTTGGTAAAGTTTGTTTGGGAACTGAACGGTGATGATGGTGCTGTGGAGTCTTTCCGAAAGGAAGTCCTCATACCGAGATAAAGGACTGGGGATCTAGTCTGGGAAAGCTATGCATATAACATTAAAATAATCCAAAAAATATCTATAAAACAATAATAAAAATGTACATAACATAAAATGTCATAAAATATACATAACAGAAAAAATGTTGTTTTGTGGACTGCTGTTAATAATCTAAAACGCGTAACTTCCACAGGAAAAAAAAATAGTTTTAGACATTTTTTTAAAGAAAAAAATTAATTAGATTTATTAAATAAAAGTGAGGCTTTTTCAAGTTAGCTCATCTAAAAGTGAAGTCAATCACTCAAATCATCAAGGCTTATAGAGTTTAAGATTTTCCAACTGGTTAATGTTAGGCTTAGGTTTAAAACATATAGACTAATATGCTTCAAAAGTCATATACATTAAAATCCTTCAAAGTGACAGTAAGATGTTAAGATTAAAATCTGAATCCTTGTTTTCTAAGAAAGTACAAACTTGATTATCTTCACGGTCAGGCAGGGTCCTGGACTGTAGTTCACCACAAGATGGCGCTATAAGAAAAGACGTAAATAAACCTTAAATGTGCAAATAAATGCAGTTTTTTATGAATTGGGCAGAAATTCGACTTCGTTGCTGAAACAACATAATGTTCTTTTATTACTCTTTAGGTAGATTTAGCTTCCCCTGTGTTGTTCATTCCGTGTAGCAGTCTTCCAAATTAAGCAGATTTTTTTCACACGTTGTGATTTGGTTATTAGCAGATTTTACACGTGGTTTATTTTAAGCTCATGGAAAAAAACGGTATAGTAGATATGTTACACAGAAAGTTAAAGACTAGAGTAGGAATATTTACTATCATAGTAGTGATGAAATGGTGATCGACCTCTGATAAATTATATTGGCTTGGTTATTGGCAAGGATTTATATGGTGCAATTTAAATATGTAGGCTACACTATATTTATTTATTACATATGTCCATACATGGTTTGAAAGGTTTGTGCAATATTATTAATGTTTTTTGTAAAGACAATTTTAAAATTGTTTTATTTAATTTATCTCAGCCAGATGCATTTGGCTTGTGTTTTCAGCCCAAGCAAAGAATGAATGAAGCAATTTTCACCTTCTGGAGATCAGATGACTGAAGTGACTAACCATCACCCACCAGATGCTGAAGATTAAAGTGGTTTATCCTGGATATGCATTAGGTAAACTGCCATGTTCTGTGTAAGAACATGTTGAAAGTCCATGGATGAGTGCTTCTGATGTGTAAACATAAGGCATCAGAATGGTGAGCTAATGTCAGTTAGCGTTGAAATCTTTATGCTGCAGTCTGCTTCTGTCCCCAAACAACCTCCTATTGGGGGAATTGGAGCATGAGAGGGATGGCTAACCAGACTTCATGCTGCAGACAGTCAGAAAAGGGCAATACGTAAATGCCGGTGAATGTAGGTATGTTTATATTTGCTCCACACATGCTTTATTGTGCTCAGAATAAAGCAAAACAATTCATCAGCTTTGGGAAGATTACGTTTTCTGTTTAGATTAATTAATCAAAATGTTACTGCAGTTTGTTAACATACTACAATGTTACTGTCAGGCTCAAAAAAAGATATTTCAGATGTGTCCTCAAAAGGCTGCATATTAGAATAAACATGTAACTGTGCAGAAATCGATAGTGAATTGTTTGTGTATTTCATTATTTTTGTCTGTATCAGGTAACATTATGTGAGGTCCTCTTTCACTCAGACTAAATTAAATTAACAGCCATTTACCCAACACTAATGGCTGTAACATTTGGGCATGGTTGAGTGAGAGAGCCTTGAGTATGTGCATGCTTCTGTATGAAAATGTTTGTGTATGCATGAATGGCTTAGGAAGTTTAAAGATCCATAGCCACTTTGTAGAATCACTGACCTTAATGCCTTCTTTGACTCTCTGTTTCTTGCTTTCATGTTTTCTTGATTTCTCACACTCAGGCGTGCATTCACTGCAGAGGGTTTGTGGAAAGACGAGAGTCCTATTTTGTCCTGTTCTAGGACCATAACGTCAGGCCTTTGCTTTGT